TGGAGCCTGCTTCAGATTCTGTGTCTCCCTCCCTCTCTCTGCCCATCCCCCACTCATGCTCTGTCTCTCAAAAATAAATACCTGTAAAAAAATAAAAAATAAAATAATGCCCCACAAAAATCTAGCATGAAGATATAGTGTCATTTTAGGACATCTACATACTATTAAAAATGAACTCAGACAGTCAACAATTCCTAAGACAGAAAGAGCTAGAATACAAGCTGCCTTCACAACATTTTGCCTTCTTCCCATAGTTGTGAATCACTAGATTTTCTCAGTAAATTAATCACCAACATTCTTTCATTACCTTCCAAACAACAACTAAAGTTACTAAGCACTAAGTGACTAAGTTAACTTGCTCTAAAATTAAATCTCAGGAAACTAATAGACTGTTGAAAAATGCAACCAGAATTATCAATTTCCTCCTGCAAAGAAAAATCCCACAGTGTATAAGCAGAAAGGAGACAACTGAAATTATTCGTGGCAAATAAACTTAATTTAGAACTTCCTAAAGGCTCTAGATGGCATAATCTAAGATCTGAGAATTTAAAAAAATTTTTTTTTTTTAACGTTTTTATTTATTTTTGGGACAGAGAGAGACAGAGCATGAACGGGGGAGGGGCAGAGAGAGAGGGAGACACAGAATCGGAAACAGGCTCCAGGCTCTGAGCCGTCAGCCCAGAGCCCGACGTGGGGCTCGAACTCACAGACCGCGAGATCGTGACCTGGCTGAAGTCGGACGCTTAACCGACTGCGCCACCCAGGCGCCCCTAAGATCTGAGAATTTAAATGAAAAGAAGCTTATCAGTGAATAAACCAAAGTTAATTAATAATCTTTTTTTACCTTATGAATATCTGGACAAATTTCATTAAAATAACTATTTCCAAATCCCAATATAATACTCCTTTGAAATGAAAATAACCAAAAGGTAATTACATGTTGACTAAAGATTTAGAAATTTTTTTTTTTTTAAGTTTATTTATTTTGCGAGGGAGCACAAGTGGGTGAGGGGCAGGGAGAGAGATGGTATCAGTAATCCTGCCCACAGCCCAACGCAGGGCTCAATCTCACAAACCATGAGATTAAGACCTGGGCTGAAACCAAGAGTCTGAAACTTAACCAACTGAGCCACCCAGGCACCCTGGAGATGTATTCTTAAGGATTACCCTAAAACCAAGCTTAATAATAAACTTGGCACATCAGGAGTATCTTTTATAAAATATCCTAATCTATTTTTTTTTTTTAATTTTTTTTTTCAACGTTTTTATTTATTTTTGGGACAGAGAGAGACAGAGCATGAGCGGGGGAGGGGCAGAGAGAGAGGGAGACACAGAATCGGAAACGGGCTCCAGGCTCTGAGCCATCAGCCCAGAGCCTGATGCGGGGCTCAAACTCACAGACCGCGAGATCGTGACCTGGCTGAAGTCAGACGCTTAACCGACTGCGCCACCCAGGCGCCCCTATCCTAATCTATTTAATAACAGCAAGAAATTTCATTTTAAAAATGTGTTGATCATGAAAAGATACTCAACATCACTCATCATCAGGGAAATACAAATCAAAACCACAATCAGATACCACCTTGCACCTGTCACAATGGCTAACATCAACAACCCAGGCAACCACAGATGTTGGTGAGGATGCGGAGAAAGAGGATCTCTCTTGCATTGTTGGTGGGAATGCAAACTGGTGCAGCCACTCTGGAAAGCAGCATGGAGCCTCCTCAAGAAATGAAAAATAGAACTACCCTACAATCCAGCAATGGCAGTTATTAGGTATTTATCCAAAGGATACAAAAATATGGATTCAAAGGGGTACATGCACCCCAATGTTTATAGCAGCATTATCAACAATAACCAAATGAGATGATAATATAAGCCAGTACAGTATGGATGGAAGAAAGGGGGGTGGTTCTGAGGACCATTAGAATGCCCTGGTGAAGCTAAACTAACCTCCTGTGTAGCTGTATTACTTGATCCCAATTGGCAGGCTTCTTCCTTTTTGTTTTTTTTCTTTTTTCTTTTGTCTGTTTGTTTGTTTTTGAGAGAGAGAGAGATGGAGTGTGAGCCGGGGAGGGCAGAGAGAAAGGGAGACACAGACTCCGAAGCACCCAAGCTCCAAGCTGTCAGCACCGAGCCTGGTGTGGGGCTCGAATCCACGAACCATGAGATCATCACCTGAGCCGAAGTTGGATGCTTAACCAGCTAAGCCACCCAGGCGCCCCCAAACTGGTAGGTTTCTAATGGAGAAAGAACTCACTAGCCAATTTCCAGGGGGGAAAAAAATCTATCTTTTATATTCATTGTGTATAGTCATTTACCAAATACTTCTAATCAACTTTCCTACCTAACCAATGCTTATTAACTTTGTTAATAATATCTTTTCTTATATTCAATATTTCAACTATCAATTAAATCTAGATTTTTTTCTTACTCTTAAAAAGAAAATGGAAAACTATACTCTAAGACATCTCTTTAAGAGAAAACAAGATAAAGCAGCTTTAAAAACAAACACACAAAAAGCTCTACAATGAGCATATGCCATTCCATCTTCCTCATTTATTTTATTTTACGTTACCTTTCAGGACATCGCTGGAAAAAAGCCGTCAGCTGCTGCAAAAGTACTGGCCAGCAATCAGGTCTATGTTCAAGCACAGTGATCAAAGGCTGAGGACGATTTCTGAAAAGCACAGAAAGTCACATTGGAAAGCTGTTGTTTTTCGGACTACAAATTCGCAGTATTCAAATATAATGCAACAAAAAGCCAATATCCTCTAGAAACTTTTTTCCAGGATTCCTAATTGTCACCAAACAATCATTGGCTGCAGAGCTGGGTCATTAGAACTAACATTTTTTTTTTTCCTTTATCTGTTTTGCAGAAAAGAGAATCGACTCTGAAGTCTTAGGGACCCGAGATTTGAGAATTAACTCTGCCATACATGAACTCTGGGCAAGCTCTTGAATATCCATCCCTTGCTTCCTTCATTCCTCGAAGTCCCAGGCCACCTTCTCCTCCTGTTTCCAAACCTGGAAGGTTCCCTTTCCTCTAACGCTGCCCCAACTTGTAAGCACTATCTCCCTCTCAGTTCCCGCTTGTCCCCATTCTTCTCAGTGTATGGCTCCATTCCTCCAGCATATTTAAGCTAAGTAAAAAGAAAACATTTCTCCCATCTCAAAACCAACTATCCAAACTGAAAATTCTTAAAATTTCTATTGAACAAGAATGAGTATTTTTGGTTTGAGCTATATCCATTAAGATACCTAAAGAGACTGGGGCGCCTGGGTGGCTCAGTCACTTAAGCGTCCAACTTCGGCTCAGGTCACGATCTCACACTTAGTGAGTCGAGCCCTGCATCAGGCTCTGTGCTGACAGCTTGGAGCCCGGAGCCTGCTTTGGATTCTGTGTCTCCCTCTCTCTCTGTCCCTCCCCTGCTTACACTGTCTCTCTTTCAAAAACAAACAAACATTAAAAACAATTTTTTTTTTTTTTAAGATATCTAAAGAGACTCTAAAACATAAGATCTGCAGCACGTGGGTGGCTCAGTCAATTAAGCGTCTGACCCTTGATTTCAGCTCAGGTCATGATGTCGCAGTTCATGAGTTCAAGCCCTACTTTGGAATTCCCTCTCTCTCCGCACCTTCCCTGCTCTCTCAAAATAAACTTTAAAAAATTTTTAAGAAATAAAATGTAAGATCTGAAATCTGAAGGATTCTTAAGTAATGAAGTTAAAAAGAAAACCCACAAACAGGTTATTTTAAATGTTCAAAAACTCTATTAGAAATTGTAAATTCATTAGCTTTTTATCCAAAAAAATATTTTAATAAATTTATTACAAAAAAAGCAACCCTTGTTTCATATAAAAGGAATCCTATACATAATATTCTTTAATCTCAAATGTTAACTCTACAACGTATCTCTAGCAATATTTAAGACACCATCAAACCATCAATTAAACCCAAATGACTTTTTTTTTTTTTTTTTTTTAAGACTGCCTTCTTGGTGATTCTCAAAATGTGGTCACCTTACCAGCAATATCAACATCACCTGGGAACTTACTAGAAATGTAAATGAATTCTCAGGCCCCGGCCCCGACCTCATAAATAGCCCTCCAGACAACTGTGATGCCCTGCTAGAAAGCAGGGCTTCTCAACCTTGGCTACATGTTAGATTCATCTGTGGAGCTCTTTTAAAAACACCAAGGGGCGGCTGGGTGGCTCAGTCAGTCAAGTGTCTGACTTCGGCTCAGGTCATGATCTCACAGTTAAGGAGTCTGAGCCCCATATCAGGTTTTGCGCTGACGGTGTGGAGCCTGCTTGCGATTCTCTCTGTGCCCTCCCCAATCAGGCTCTCTCTCTCTCTCACAATAAAATATATACACATATATATATTATAAAAAATAATAGAAAATAAAAAACACCGATACCTAAGCCTCAATTATTTGGGGTTGCTAGGAATGGAGCACATGTATTAGTAATTTTTAAGAACTCTTTCAGAAATTCTAACATGTTGCCAGGGTGGAGAACCACTACAGGGCGGGGGTGGGGGGGGTGGGAAACCACAACAGAAGAGGGAGGTTAAGAGTCAGGAAGTGTTCTCATTTTTCTCTCTCTTAAAGAGAGAAGTATGGCAGGCCGGTCACATCAAAACGCTCATGTTAAGCACGTTAACACGGTTTCTGCATGTTATAACACCATCTATTTTCTCATCAACCTCACCTAATCTATCATGCACTAACTTCACACGCTGGCAGCCTCCTGTTTGTTAAAGCACAGGCTATTTCTGACTGATCAGATTACTGCCATTGCTAAGGGATCGCTCCAACGTTTTCTGCCAGCGCTCAGAAATCATAGCAAAATCCTACTTCCAAATTCCAAACTCTCTGGCACTTAAACCTAACCAGAATTGCTTCTACTCTAGTTGCCGCAGATATTAATGAACAAATGTTACCAATCCTGAAAGTCTCCTAGGAATGTCAGATCGGCCGAACTTCTAAGAGCTGGAGTTCAGTAGGTCACATTCGTGAACATGAATACAAAGGAAAGAAGAGAACCTGCAAATCTTAGGTAGGGGTTTTTCTCCCGCCAAGCATCATACTGAAGTGAGGCGCATCATATATGACCATCCATTAATCCTCCATTTAATGGTGGTATTGATGACTATTTAAGAAGACGATTCAACAAGTTACCACACCACTGTGTATTACCACATACGTGTGGGATCATAGAGCACTTACGTGCTTATACGTCATCTCTCCCTCCTTCTGACTCCTCATCCCACAAAAAACTTGAGTATCTATCTCCTTTTTTTTTTCCTATCTACTATTTAAGTTTTGTCCAAATTAAAACAGGTCAATTGAAATAAGAGGTAGTAATTCTAATTTTTTTTTTTAATGTTTATTTTTGAGAAAGAGACAGACAGACAGACAGAATGTGAGCAGGGGAGGGGCAGAGAGAGAGAGGGAGGGAGACAAAGAATCCGAAGCAGGCTCCGGGCTCCGAGCTGTCAGCACAGAGACTGATGCGGAGCTTGAACTCATAGACTGTGAGATCACGACCTGAGCCAAAGTCAGATGCTTCACCAACTGAGCCACGCAGGCACCCCAAGAGGTAGTAATTTTAAAGCAGGATCAGAAATGATGCACATAGGACCAACCACTAAAATTTAACTTTTACTTCACTGGGATTGTGGGAACCACTCTAGCCTTTTTGCATGAAGCTGAAGGCTTATCTTGCTAGCCGCTGGATTCAGCGATTCTATTTAGTATCTCTGACTTTTACACTAAAGATGAGACGAAGTAGAATATAGTAGAATAGGGATTATCCAGATTAATTACTGATTTAGACGTCTGGATAATTAAATTTTCTACAGAATTGATTATGTCAGATCCAAGTGCAAATATTGCAGAGAATAATACGCAATATTGATTCCAAGAAGCTCTCTTGAGGAAGAAGGGAAGCCCAAAATAAGAACATTGAATCTTACTAGTGATTAACATTTGATTATAATATTATACTCTTCCCATTGAATACAATGAACCTAAAATCAATCATAATTGCCAAAATTTTGTTTTAATACTTTGAGCATAATGAAGCCAAGAGCTAAATTCTCCCTTGTGAATCATCAAATTGGTAAGTGAATACAAATATATAAAGCTTTATGCTTAATTGAGTGAATGCATTTTGCAATTCAATATACATTATGGTGCAACTGCCATGCATGAAGTTTTCCCACTCTTTGCACTACTGCTCCTTGAGGTCAGATGATTCTTTGGGGGGGGGGGGGGGGTTGTCCAATGCACTGAAGGATATTTAAAAGCATTCCTGGACTCTACCCACTGGATGCTAATAGCATTCAATATAGCTGTGGCAATCAAAAACGTCTCCAGACATTACCAAATGTCCCCTGGGGAGCACAACTGTCCCTGGTTAAGAAGCACTGCAGTACGTAAAATGACAAGCACTATCAGAGGCACAAAACCGATTAAACCATGGTACCATCCCAGAGCCACTGCAAAAGGCTAGGATTCCACCTTCACCTTCCTTACGCTGAACCAAAATCAATCGATCGTACTCAAAATTTCAGATTTCTTATGGAAATACACCAATCAAATTTTAACATTGGAGCACAAGAGTTAACACAATACAGTAGAAAGAAACTCAAAAATGTCTGCTGGAAAGCTAATGGAAAAGTAGTCCTTTCCAAAATATAGAATTAGGTTCCAACATAAATGGTATTAAATAATATACACACTAATTTGAGTAGGATAGAAAATAGTTATTTTCCTATTTAAGATACTATAATTAGGGCATTGAAAATGTCACAAGGCTAAGTATAATTCACTCCACTCCTGCATTCCAGGATTATTAAATTCGTGGATTACTCAAGATTTTTCTTTCTTTCTCTCAATTCACTGCTCGTTAGCCATGCCACTTCCTTCAAGTACATCCGGCTGAGAAAGGTCAAGGTAAATGGAAGGATCGGCAACTTAAACAAGTCACCTCTGCTCTTCATTAGGAGCACTTTTGATCAAAAAGAGAATGTGGTACAGAAAAACACCAAGCAAGACCTGGGTTATGCCTTAAAATTTCAATGATCCCCAAACCAGCTACTCAAGTTATAAAGCGTTAAGTTGCCTATAACAATGGACTCAAAATGATAAATGGGTTGACCATACAACCAAACTGATCACTTGTGAAATTAATAGTGGCAGACAATGGTCTGAAGAACAAACACCCACGTGGGACACGGTCATCATTTTCATTTATACAAGCAGTGCGTCCATATCATCATCACAATCCTACCTCGGAAAAGACAGGAGTGGAGAGGGGAGGGGAAACAGGAAAGGGAAAAGCAATGAACTAAAAGGGTCGAGCTCCAAATTTACATTCTGGCTCTGCAACAAACCGTGGGATTTCAGGCATGAGAATTAACCTCTTTTGGGCAAAGTTTCTTCATTTGGAAAATGAGGACATCAGACTGAGTACCTTCCAGTGCTAGAGGTAGAGAACTCAAGCCACCCATTAAAGCCCTAACCTTCACACTGCTCCAGACTTGAGGTAGAACCAAACCCTGTCAAGGCAGAAAGCGGCACGGATGGCTCTCAACTGTTAATAATTCTAGGCCGAGCTTATAGGACTCTAAGGCCAACATCTCATAAAATCCAAGCCTCAAAAAAGAGG